TGCATTAAGAACACTTGTGTATTAAGAACACTTGTGTTAGGGCATGAATTAACAATAAATAGGTTATATACAGTGTAAAATACCACGTACTGTCCGCCCTCCTATGCCACCCTGGCATGACCTCTTGCCTCCCCTTTGCCCCCCCCATGTAAAATGTTCTAGAACCGCCACTGATTGGTGTTATGGACACAAACTTGGATTTTACAAATCAACTCGCTTTTTTAAAATCAAGGCTTTAAAATGATTTTATTAAATATATTAAATGATTTGCATATCCTTTATGTTTTACTGCACTTAAGTTGATTCCACTTACCAAATGCCTGTAAGGTTGATATGTTCAGGAGCCAGCAGTTTTTTTTTTTTAGTTCAACCAAAACTAAACTTGTTTGCACATTGATTTTACAAAGAAACAAGACATAAGAAGTTACTAAGTATGCTTTAGATTTGTTTGTTTGTTTGTTTCCCAGGGAAACCCTCACAAGAAACACCAGCTGTTGTTATGCCTGCTGTGACGTTAAGTTGCCTCTTGTAATTATGCCTTTACAATCTTAAAAGTTATTTTTATCATCTGAATTTGGCGAAACAAGTTTAATATTCTGAAAACCAAGACTTTGTTTATTTGAAATCAGATGAAAACAAACTGTCACGGACCCTGCCGTGTTATCTATGATTACTACGCTTTTCATTCATAATTTCAGCGGGAGGGAGGGGGAGTGGCGCTGAGGAACAGCAGAGTGCGGGCTGACAGGTGTCTGTGTTGACATTCCCCTTATTGTGGAATAAGGGGAATGCAGAGACTGGCTACAAGTGTTTTAGGTTCAAGTTAGACAACTAATGTCTGGGTTAGTGTTCATTACTTCATGTGTATGTCATCTAATGGTTAATCTCAATACACACACATTTTCCGTGCTTTCCAATAGTTTAAAATAGTTTTATTCCACTGTTTAATAACCTGTTACAAACATGCCACTTGTAAAAATGAAATAAAATGTCTGTGAACTGATATTTGTTTAGTGAGCTTATTAGAGGATGTTCCCATTTTTTGGGGATGTTCCCTTTGATTGTAAAATGTCAATGAAGATGTCAGACTTAGTACATTTGTTAATAATTACATACAACACATGGAATTTGTGTGTGTGTGTGTTCCAAGTGAATCTGTGGCCCCCTGGTGGCCAGTACATCAATGATGTGGCCCCCACCACCATCAAAGTTGCCCATCCCTGATGTAAGGGTATGGTGATTCAATTAAAGAAATCGTATTGCAATAACACGATTTAGCATGATCATAAAGGAGAGTCCCCATTTATCTTTTGCACAATTGTTGTATATTCCCGGCTAATCTCAGGCAGTGTAGGATTCTGATCTTCTCCCTGTGGAGCTCTCCGGGACTCACTTGGCCTGCCAGCTTGGCAGAGAAGTGGATCAGGTCCTGCATGAAGATGCCTACTGCCCCTCTGGGTGCAGGAGGAACCTCTGTCAGAGTACACGAGTCGAATTGAAAGTTGATGTTCTTGGCCCTAGGGAGGCCCGGCCCCCGCTCTTCAATCCACACCAGAGGTCTGTCGTCAGACGTTAACAGCTTTGCAGTCATCTTGCAGTAGTTGTTGCCAGAGTCTTCCTCCATAGTTGCTGCAGTTACCGACAGCTCACCAAACAACTCCACCAACCACGTAAGGCGAGCAATGCCACTAAATGCTGGGAAACCAAATCCAGGCTTCAGAGCTCCACCGGTAAAATGAAGCGTTCCTTCCTGCAGGAGCTTTCCCTCCACCTCTCTCTTTAGTTCTTTGTAGTCTTCGGTCAGCAGCTCAATGTGTTCCTCATGGAGAATAACTCCTTTTTCCTGGGCCAGGTTCCAGAGCTCCAGAGCAGCTTTGTAGTTCATGGTCATGGGATATTCCACACACACGTGTTTTCCTGCCTGCAGAAAAGTTCTGATGTTTTCCTCATGCAACACATTCTCAGTGCAGATGAACGCCACCTGGATGTCCTCTCTGCTCACGGCCTCTTCAGCGGTCACCTGGCTCACTCCCTGCTGAGAGTCCAGCTTTCTCCTGGATATGAAAGCTCTGACATTCAGTTTCTCTGCAGGACTGCCAGGCAGAGGAGCTAACATGTCTCTGATCCTCACCCAACCGGCTGTGCCAATGCCAACAACCACCGCTCCAAACATGCTGGTTCACTGCCCTTTGGTGGCCAACACAGAGAAATGTAGCCGTTATGTTGTGAGCTATGGTTGTGTGAGTAGTGTTATCCCAATAGGTGACGTAACACAGAGCTAGCGGCTAGCAGCAGCCTTCGAGTGAGGCGCCATGGATGTATGTAATAGGTGAGGCGCCCGGAAGTGTCCAGGGGAGCTTCTTCTTCTCTTAGTTTTTGGCGGATTGCAAACAACTTTAAGGTGCATACCGCCACCTACTGTACAAGAGTGTGTATCACCATATCATCCTATCACCACTTGTGGAATTATACCACTGTATTTACGTTGTTTTAAATTCTTCCAATCAATCCTGTTTCACTCAAATACTTAAGAATGGCCTTGATAGCTCTTATCCCCTCACCTTCTGTTCCTAGTATCCCCATCAGGCTCCACTCCCTTCCTGCCTCTATTATATTTCCCTCTTTAGTTTTTTACCTGCTGGGCCCAGAGAAAAATGCTTTTGTGAGCAAAAATTAGAGGGGAACAGCAAACAACAGTAGGATTTTGGTGACGTTGTGACTATCCTGGACAAAGATATAGGGGGGCTTCCAAATCCGGCAGCTACAACACCTGCTCTGCCGGATATGGAAGCCCCTCTTTAGTTTTGTACCTGCTGGGCCCAGAGTAAAATGCTTTTGTGAGCACACACTAGAGGGGATCAGGCAACACCAGTGTGATTTTGGTGATGGTGTGACTGTCCTGGACAAAGTTGTAGGGGGGGTGCCATATCTGGCAGGAGAAATACCTGCTCTGCTGAACATGTTATGTAGAGAACAGTGCAGATCTTCCCTATTGACACCAGGACAAACCTATAGTCTAAAATAAGGAACATTAATAGTGTGATATAGGCACAGATATAAGATCAATACACTTTATTTTAGGGCACCTTTCAACACATTCAATGTCACCTTAAAATAAAATAAAAAATTAAATATGAGTGGCATTACAATACAAAAATGTGTTGAGTAGGAAACCACAGAGGAATATTACATTCAAAGGAGCAATTAAAGCGAGTGAAGCTAGTTTGAACACATTATCTTTTAGGCTTGATTGAAAATAACACAGTGTCTGACATTATCATATAGGCTTATGTTATATCATTACTCTGTCATATAATTGCTTACTATTCATGGTTATCAAGTAGGCTATCAGACACTTAAACAACAGAGAAGGTTTTAAGAAATAAGACTATACTGACAAATGACATCTTATCCTTTCATTGTCTGTTCTGTAGGAACATAACAGTGACTACACTTAAAAACTGAATTTTGTTCCAATACGAAGATTGTGTCCTTAAAACGAGCCACCTCGCAATTGTATCCAGATTATTTATTCAGCCTTTTGCTGTTTAATCTGATGGGAAATATATCATTCAAAAGAGAGAGAAAAGCTTAGAAATGTAGGCGAACGCTCAATACAGGCGATGACGTCACCTTTGCACAGGGCGGCCCAATCCCAAACCACGCCCTACACCCTACCCCTACACACTCCCCCTCCGTGACGGAGTGAACTCCGTGGAGTGACACTCGCAGCTCAACGAGGCTCCCTCATGTGCCCCTTTCACACCAGCGCTTTTTCAGCTCCGGCTCGGAGCTGGAGCCTGAAAAGCGCCGGATTTTCCTGTTCACACCGCAGCGGCGCCGTCTTTTAGCTCCGGAATCCGGTTCACTTCCAGCTCCAAAAAATTGTCGGTCTCTAGAGGCAAGAGCTTCGGAGCTAAGAGGTGGCGTCGCTTACGTCTCTCTTACGTCGAGGCGTGCATGAAACTAAACCCACCTCCCCTGAACATGGGTCGACTGTCATGCCTGCCTACAAGCAGTAGTGCTTATAAACACACTTTATAAAGTCAGGCAACACTAACCAGGCTTCGTGTGATTCTGTTTATTTGTACCTTACTTTGACCATCCGTTCATTGTTATTGATCATTGTGGAGAGAGGCAGACGTGTTGTTTTGTATTATAGCAGCTATCGGATGGAATCAATACATGGGCTGCACAGGTTGTCGTGTCCGACTATCACAAGTAGAATCATAATAAAAATATGCCGGTAAAATGTGCCTGTAGAAAACGGTTTATGCCACAATAGGATAGCAATAGCAAGTAGTCAGTTTAGCTTCGGTTGCTATGCTAACATCACCCATTTTATACCAGAGAAACTTTCTTAACAGCGTTGTGATGCCAAACAGCGTCAATTCAGACTGACACACATTCACTTACACTGTAAAAAAAGATCGTAATTTTACAGGAAATAACTGTAAATTTGTATAGTAATTATCATGTTTTTTTAAATAACTTGCAAAATCCTGTAAAATGACAGATATTAACTATAAATTAACAACCCAAAACATTATTTGAAGTATTTTGACAATAACAACAAATAACGTTTATTTCCTTTTTTTTTACTGTAAATTTACTATATAATATTTACAGTATTTTTGCACTTTCAGAAAATACATGCAGATGTACGTAAAATAAAATGTTTTTATCTGTAATTAAATATGTAACTCGTAATATAAAAGTGTATTACTATTATAAGACTTTAAGATGTTCTTTGTAATTTTAAGGTAAACATAAAACTGTAAGAAAAGCGTAAAATAAAAAAAACGTAAAATGTAAGTAAAACATTTTTACATAAATCATTTTCTCAATATTCGATTGAATCCAACAAAAACACAAAATATCCAATGTTGAAACAAAAGTAAATAAATATGTTTTCATGAAATTCCTAACTTACTATATTGTAAACATCTACAGTTGACAATATCATTAAAAAAAAAAAATCATAGAAAGTGGAGAAATCTCTGCAGGGAGGACCAAGGTTTAAAACACACACTGTTATTTACTCAACAATAAGTCACAGTTATCCTTGTTTTATTTATGTGTTCTGTTGCTGTGTTTTTTTTCCATTGGTCAATTTACAGTAATAAACCTTAGTTTTACAGTATAATGTATGGTTTTCGGATTCTGGCCGACAGCCAGAGCTACGGCACTTGAAATAGAATTCAGCCAAAACACGGCAGACAAGTCAGGCATGTTTGGAATGAGTCCACAACACTCCTGATTGGTTAATATAAACATCATCGAAGAAACCTGCCAATGAGAACTGTCCGCGCCTGTCGTTCACATTTGAAACATCCAAGTCAGTTTGAGCGGGTCTCCTCCTGCTGGAGCTACAGCTGTCTGTGTGTCTGCTACAGGAGTTTATGGATTCATATCGGGATCGTTTTACATCTACACGTTAAATATGAGCATCGGGACGTCAACAAAGAACAGAAGACTTGAGATCTGGTGAGTCCTGCAACTGTAATGGAGTTAAACATGTATTTAGATAATCCTTACTTAGTTTGTGAATGTTTTATTTTTTATTTAAGGTTACGTTTCTTCTTCTAGTTAGCTGAGTTTCTTCCGGTTAAGTTGGTATGCATAATTAATAGGTTGTTAAATGTTAAGAAGCCCTGAGATGCTGTTTCTTGCAAGATGTTGCGCCCGGGAAACCCGGCTTAACATGCGGCTGCTAACGTTAGCTTACAGCTTATTGCAGTGCTGCCCCCCTCCCACCCTCTCGTCTCCAACACGGGAGAATTACACATAAACATGCAGTGGGGTATCACAGTGTTGTCGCCAAGTTTAATGTAAAGTTTCACAGCTTTCTTACAGCGGAATCTAGTTTGTTAATGTTCAGTAGCCAACAGCTAGCATAGCATAAACAGCTAACCGCTAAGGTTGGGCTAATTTGCTAGTTAGCTCTGCTCTATATATTACACGCTAACATGACTAGCTAATGTCACACTGTGAACTAAAATACTTTTTGTATTACTACATCATACATGCTTGGTCCAAATCACTGCTAAAATTAATTATTTTTGAAAATGTATAGTAAAGAAACACTCAGCCATGCATGAAATAACATGGCAAAAGAATACGGGTAATGTTTGACCCATGTTGTGCCTTAGAAGTGTAGTGATACAAACATGATTTTTATTCAAAAAGTAAGAAAGGGACAAATAAAAATTAGAATTGGTGTTGATCCAAAACATGTTGATTGAGGAATACCTGGGATCCTGAATGGTTAAAGTAATTTATTGCAAAGATATTTACAATTAAAACTAATTCGGGTCACTTTTGACACATGTTGGTTGTATGTTGTGTAACAAAGGGTTAACATGACAGCTGTGATGTTCACTCTTTTGACAGAGCACCAGTGGACAGCGAAGACTATGGAAGAGAAGATGTGATGGTTTTGTGTGGAAAGCTGCTAACGCCAGCCTGTGTCCCTCTCATCAGTCTCTCCAGGCAGCACCCAGCTATTCTTCCATCTTGCAGATGAAAAGACTTTGATATGTGAGTAATAACTAACTTGTGTCTAACATAATATTGAATGTGGTTTAGTAAAGTATTTAAAAATACCCCACATTGTACATGTACAGGACAATCAGACCTTGTTCAACAGAGATAATCAGACAATTGTTTTGTCTTTGAGGTACAGCCGCAGCAGAGAGTCTTGAGTTTGAAGAAAACACTAACATTTTATTTAGTGTTGTTTAATCAATCAATATTTACTGGTCTTGAATTTCCTCACTGTATTACAAAATGCTCGAATCTTATTGTACAGGAACATTATGCAGATTTCATCACCTGAAGATAAAAATATAGATTCAGCGATATGTACCATTTTAAGGAAATAGACTGTTAGCGGTATTTACCAAAGCTCCGCAGCTGTAGCTAGGCGCTGCTAATGAAAACTCAAGTGCTCAATTTGTTGGTTTTTCTTTTTTATTAAGAATTGACCAAGCATATCTTCCTCTTCGAAATCCCAGTTGTACTTCGCTAACACGCAGTGCCTGGGAGGGTGCGTTTGATTGTTCCCACAATAGTGCGTGCGTGCGCTTGTGCTTCAAAGGTCCATCATACAAGATGTAGGGGATCTATTGGCAGCTGCTGATAATAACATCCATCATTATGGTTTACTAATAGTTATCACTTCACTTTCTCCTCCAGCATCTGGACACAGCAGGAATCTACGCCAGGATCCTGTTTGTGGACTTCAGCTCTGCCTTCAACACAACACTCTGGCTGGAGGCTGCGCTCCATCAGGACCAACACCTCTCTCCCTCAGGACCAGAACCTCTCTCCATCAGGACCAACACCTCTCTCCATCAGGACCAACACCTCTCTCCATCAGGACCAACACCTCTCTCCATCAGGACCAGAACCTCTCTCCATCAGGACCAGAACCTCTCTCCATCAGGACCAAAATCTCTCTCCATCATGACCAACACCTCTCTCCATCAGGACCAAAACCTCTCTCCATCAGGACCAAAACCTCTCTCCATCATGACCAACACCTCTCTCCATCAGGACCAGAACCTCTCTCCATCAGGACCAACACCTCTCTCCATCAGGACCAAAACCTCTCGCCACCTCAACAAGGCCCCCCCCCACCCCCCCCCCCCCCCCCACCCCACTGACACTTTATCTCAGCCACAACGCAGACTCTATGCATTACATAATGGAGATCACAGGATGGTAAATAATGCAATGTTTAAATATTGCTTACTGCACATATTTTATATTCTATAATTTATTGCATTCTATTTCGATGTAAGTTACTGCTTTATTTTATTTCTATCTTACTATATTTTTATTACAGTGTTCTTAATATAGTTCGCTATCTGTGTACTTTTTAATTTTTTTTATTTGTATGTCGTGGTGCACGACACCTAGTCAAATTCCTCGTACGTGTGAACCTACCTGGCAATAAACCCGTTTCTGATTCTGATCGGTTTGTCCTCTAGGTTGCACTGCCACGTCTACAGTAGCGCAGAATGGACAGAGGAAACATGATTGGGCCTCAAGTTTTTTGCAGCCAATATTCATTTATCCTACAGGGGCGGCTAGTGGAGTACTTCGTGACCACAAAGTGTGAACGTTGTGATCAGCTGTTTTAGCGCAGTTCTCCAGTGAAGGGGGGGGGAGTCTCCCTCCGCAGCCGGTTGGCGTAGTTTGGGCACAATTCCGTTGTACAGACCGACGTTAACAGCAACCCTGTCTGTGCACACGGAGACCGACTCTGTCGTCCGGTGATCTAACCGCCTTCTGGAAAAGCTTCACAAGTACGTCGGTAAGCAAATGCGCTTTGTGACACAAGTGACGGTACGCATTTCAGATTACGCACATAATCTGCGTACCAGTTATGTGCACCCCTGTACTACAGCAAAAGTATTCTCCGTCGGGACTTCCTGCAACAACACCACGCCGTTATCAAAGATGTTCTATTGAGAAGACGATCACTACGTGACAAAAGTTTTCAAAACCGTGGCTACTGAAATCAATCTTACTAACTGCTGTCTGTGCAATTTACTCCGCGAGTTGGCAGACTTTATTTTGCTTCCTTTAACATCATTTTTCATGGTGGGGCTAAGCCATTTCTTGGTATGGGTGTAGCCTACCCCAGCCATACCCTGGCGTTGCCACTGGTGGCACGTATGGGGCGGGCCATTCTGCACATGCGTTAAATATGTTAAATATTTTAACGCAATTAATTCAAAAAATTGATTACCGCCGTTAACGCGATAATTTTGACAGCACTCATTTTAAGTTTTCAGAGTAATTGTTTCCTACAGAACATTTTGTGATGTCATTTTGTTGAACCTGTTTGATTGGAAAATGTTAGAAAAAAGCTGTAAGATAACAGTATTCTAGCTGTAGAACTTTAGGCTCTGTATTTATTTTAGTGTTTGATCATACAAATCTAATAAAAAAAATGTAAACTGTTTTTCTCATCAGAACTTTATTTAAGGTATTTTAATGTAACATTTTAAGACAATGGATTTTGAAAAGAGAGGAAAGTTTCCTCTAAAATCTTTAAGGACAATTTCTGTATACTAATTGCTTTTGCACTTTATTTCAGTTAATGTATTTTTACTTTAATTTAATGTTTTTTGTTTGGCAGCCGCTGCTGCCAGTCATTTGACCGTTTTTTTACGGGTTTTTTGCCCGTAGAAGTTTTAGTGCTGTACTTTTATTAAATGTTATTGACTGTAATAAGAGAGGATAAATCTGTAAAATTACAGTGTTTGCACGTTAAAATATTAGTGCTGTACTTTTATTAAATGTTATTGACTGTAAAAAGAGAGGATACATCTGTAAAATTAGAGTATTTGCCTGTAGAAGTATGAGTGATGTACTTTTATTTAAGGTTATTGACTGTAAAAAGAGAGTATAAATCTGTAAAATTACAGTGTTTTCCTGTAAAATCTTTAAGGACAATTCCCGTAAATTAATGGCTTATTCACTTTATTTCAGTTAAAGTATTTTACTTTAATTTAAGGGTTTTTGTTTGGCAGCCGCTGCTGCCAGTACTTTGACCGTTTTTTTACGAGTTTTTTTTTTACAGTGTAGGCTAAGGGGAACTGGGGATATGTATCAGCTGCTTGTGTGAGTCGGACAGTGAATACTTTAGAGCGGCCGCTGCAGTGTGAGCTAACCGGGAGCTAACGGAGGAGAATAAACTCCCGTGGAAGAGCAGCCAACACTGCAGCGGTCGGTAAATGCTGCAGAAACACATTAATAAACAATGAACCACGGCACTCTGGAGCAAAGTATAAGGTTGGAGAAGTCGTTATTCAATTTATTCTGGCTTCGTGTGATTAAAAGCAACACGATCATCGACCCGACGCAGTTCCCCGTTGTTGTGTGAGCGCCGTAATGTCGTTGGGGAGCAAATCAGCGATGTAAACGGTGATGTCATGACGCAGCAGCGGCAGCACCAGTCGGGCTCTGGGCGGTGTGAACAGAGCGGGAGCAGAAAAGGGAAACCGGAGCTGAACCAGAAAAGCTCTAGCTCGGAGCTAGAAAGGGAAAAGCGCTGGTGTGAAAGCCGCAATGGATGTATAATAAGAACTGGATACAGCGTGGGAGGCGGGGCCTCATTAATTCCCATGAGAGTTGCTCATTGGCGCATGATGATAAAATGGCCCAACTTTTGAGAGAGCGAAACGTCAGATTACCCGGCATGCCTGAGAAGTACCCGTATGTGCACTCATAGCGCATGCGCAACTTTAACCAAAATGCTCGTTCACATTAAGCACGTCAATTTGCGTACACGTAACAGCACCGCGCGTTCATGACAGCATGGTAATGGATTGTTGTTATCATGGATTTGATTTTAACGAGGCGGCAGTTAGCAGCTAGCGGCTAGCTAGTAATGATGCTAATGTACACATCAATCATTATGTACTTATATTACGTTGTAACAGGATCTAGTGATATCCAAGCAACAGAGCTTCATTTAGCATGAAATAATTATTGCACTGTATATATATATATATACACACACAGTGCAATAAGCTTCTTAGTGCAATAAGAAGCTACAGGGACGTTAATCTAACGTCTGTAATATTAACTTTATTTAATACAACATTTACGGATTTACAAGATTTAATCATACAGCCCATGTAGTATAATATTTTACAAATGATGAATTACAGCGAACATGTGCAATATATCCATTATTACAGCTCCGTGGGATGGCAGTAAGGTGATATGGGTCCGTTCTTATTGTGCATCCATGGGTAAAGATAAGAGATAAACTCATGTAGTGCTGAACACGTAACATGAACGTGCCGGGCGGCGCGGTCCCGTGGGTTAGATACACGTTCATAATGCAGAGGGAAATAACTCTCAGAATAACGTTATTAGCAAATGTTTACAACTTGAGGAACGAATGTTTTTAATAAGGGCTATACAAGTGTTCATACTGGGTTGTTTATTTAGTTTGAAAAAAACTTTGACTCTTTCCCCATGTAAGTCAATGGGAAAAAGTGTTTGCGGGCCTGGCAACCAAACGGAAGTGTAGTACCGCCGTTTGGCCACCACGAATATTTTCATCTGAGTCCGGTGCACTTCCTGGAGGCTTGGTCACGACTCTTTTAAACATCACTGTTGCCGGAAATGCATCCGCGGAGGAGCCGTGGAGGACCCATCAGTGTATCCTAGATTATAGCCCCTCCAGAGAGCCTCCTCGACGCTCGATCCTCGATGTGCATTTAGAGAAATGAGATGTCCTTCAAGTAACATGGCGCGCCAAAAACCATTTCCGGGTCACTATAATTTGTGAAATGAGAAAGGCCCACAGAAGCCCAATAATTGCTGCTATATTTCTTTAGGGGCGCTTGCTATTACTCCTTCTATTTCAAATGGATATTTTAATGGAAATAAACTTTAAACGGAAATCTATTGAATTGTAGACAAATATTTAAGTAAAATGGAAGGTGGAATAAAATACAAGGAAATAAAGCATGTTTTATTTGTCCACTGTATTTTCTGGTATTGATTCAAGTCAATAGCTCACGACCTGGAAGGTATTGAAGAAAAATCTCAACTTTTGAATGGAAAACTTTTTAACTTGCAAAACTTTATTAATTTGAAAAATAAGGGGGGATTAGAGTCCAACAATAATATGTGTGTCCTATTTGTACAGTCCAGTATTCCGGCACCCAAGGGCATGTATATGTCTGGTGATATAGCCACAAACTGGGAGGTTTTTAGAGCAGAATTTGAGGACTTTTGCTCGCTACAGGTCTGACCGAAAAGACGAATGCGGTGCAGGCAGCCACGCTGAGACGGTTTATGGGGAACGAGTGCCGGCATATATATATGCACAACGTCACGCTGACCGAGGAACAAAAGAAAGACCCCAAAACAATTTTGGATGCGTTGGGGGATTATTTCAAGCCGGCAAAAAATGTGATTTATCATGAGAGATACACGTTCGGATGCTGCAAACAAGGACCGGACGAGCCGATCGATAGCTTTATAACAAAGCTGAGGGAAAAGGCATCATCATGTGAGTACCGTGACCTAAAAGATGAACTGATTAGGGACAGGCTGGTACTCGGGCCCTTTCTCATTTCATCAAATCCCCCTCCTCGACTCCTCGGTCCTCCGGTAGTGACCCGGAAATTAATTTCAGCGCGCCATGTTGAAGGACATCTCATTTCTCTAAATGCACTTCAAGGATCGAGCGTCGAGGAGGCTCTCTGGAGGAGCTCTAACCGAGGATACACTGATGGGTCCTCCACGGTCCTCCACGGCTCCTTCGTGGATGCATTTCCGTCAACAGAGATGTGTCAAAGAGTCGTGACGCACGGCCGGACTTATCTCATTAATGACATCTCTGCATGCATCCCCTGGATATTATTGTATTAACTGCTTTCATCGCGACGCGATGTTTACAGAAGAGGCTTCTCAATA